TTTTTCAGCCATCCACCCTCGAAAACGAAGAAGTTGCAGTGCTGCTAATTGGAGACAAATGATGTTGGGACCGAATGAGAGAGGCAGAAGAGGACGACGTAATCGAGGGCTGTGCGGATGCTTAAATGATGGGATGAGCAGGAATTTCCGATGTTCGAATACGAGGGGCCTGCTTAGCTTCTCTTTGGACACCGCACAGGTTATCATGACTCGGCTGTAGAGTCGCGCGACGCTTCGCCACGCACTCTAATCAATGATTCGGTTATCAGAGAGTGTCTGGTTGCGAAGTGAATCGCGCTCTCCGACTATTGAAGAGTTTGGTCAACTAAGGGAGAGAAGGATGCTTCGTGCACCGCACCCCCTAATGGTCTGAAAGCCCGAAAGACCACAAGGGAACATCAAACGAAATGCCGGCTGGAAGACGTGAGAAAAATCTCTGAAGAAGAAGAATTTAAATATGGGCGAAGTGAGAGAACGAGAGCAAACCCGCTCAATGATTTAGCTTTTGTACAAGAGACTTTTTGGATATGTATCTTGCTCATTCCCAACTCAGACTACAAAGTGTAATCTTTTTCTGGATGCCCTGCTTGCTCTAATAGATTCACTTTATATATAAACCGAAACGACCACGCAACTGCCTCGTCTTTCTCCAAAGCAATGTAAAAGCCTGTGGATTGTGGATACCTTTGATTGACAACGCATGCTCTCGAAACTCATCATCTCGTGACAAAACTTTTTAAAGAAAAGAATCTGCTCTTTAGGAGAAAATTTGGAAAGAAACTGTGCTTTTTATTGCACAGTTGTGGCTATAAACCACAGTAGTTCCAGTTAGCTTCACTGATTTTCCAATATCTGGGTCTTCAGATTCTAATTAGTGAATTCAAATTTTCGTTGCTACGGCATAAAAAAGGAATTGATGAATTTTTTTCGCATTATAAAATGAATGTCGCTTAGGTAAGCTCGTCCTAACCTCATATGCCGCGTCGCAACGGCAGACGAACAAGATACTTGTAATTAAGGATAGACAAGATAAAGGCAAATCTTAGGAAACAACAAGATGAAGGGGTACTCATGCATGCATGTGCAACGCGTTATTGTAGAAGTCGTCCAGTTATTAGCTTAGTGTACTCTGTAAAGTGTATGTTATTAAAAATGTAATTAGTTTTCCTTCAGCGTGAGAAACCTGCCCCTAAATCATGTTAATTCAAAGAAAAGAGGTATTAACTAGGCTAACAAACTCTCTCATTTGTTCTTAAGAAAAAATGGAATATAATTCAATTCATCAGCGTCCTTTACGAAAAAAACATGTAAAAGTAAATAGAGAATCAAATCAACTGCTCTTATGAGAGAAGATGAGGCATTTGGGTGGATGAAAAGAGGATCAGGAGTCGGTGCGGAGCTAAGCGGGGAAAGCAATTATGAAGAAAAAGGGATAGAAAATGAAAAAGAAAAAAGAAGAAAAAGCAACAAATGAGGAGTGAACAGAGAAATGTTGGAAGCCAGAGAAAGAGCGTTGTGTAATAGGCGAGTATCGACGCGACAGCTAGGATTAAGGCAGAGTGACGCTCGCTGCGAGACTTTCGGAACCTCCAGGGTATGCCAAAGCTGGAGGTCTCGCAGCCAGCGTCAAAGCGAGAGAAGAAGCAGCCCAACTTGGACGACATCGCACACTCACACACACACACACTCACATACACACAGCAATACTCAGCGGCAAATCCACAAAAGGTCGATCGAGCTTTGAGATGCCGAGCGCGAAACCACATAGTGCATGCATTGTTTTCGACTGGCAGCCCACCAGATTCGGAGTCGAAAACGCCGTGAATTAAACTAGTCAATTCCGGCCCGCCCTTTCGACCCCCCTAAACATCAAGGAAGCAGGCCTGGCACTGTGCTAAGGCCGGAAAATATCCATAAAAGGCAGCAAATAACAAACGGTGTTTGCTGCTGGACTATGGCTATGCAAGCATGGTGGTAATAGGACAAACAAGAAGAAAAGGATTGGTTGTAGATCAGTAATTTTTCTGCAAAAGTATTTTTAAGAAGTGGAACATCAGAAAGTTCGAGAAGGTTAGATGCATTTCAAGTCAAGGGCAGAGATTACAAAGATCAGGGCCTTACTTCCTGTTGGATTTACTTGGCCAATGCAACGCAGTATCTTCTATCTTCACGTCATTGTCATAACAGTAATGAAACGAACAGCAAACA